GTAAAAGTAGAAGTACTCAGATCTTGTACTTGAGTAAAAGTAGAAGTACTCAGATCTGGTACTTGAGTAAAAGTAGAAGTACTCAGATCTGGTACTTGAGTAAAAGTAGAAGTACTCAGATCTGGTACTTGAGTAAAAGTAGAAGTACTCAGATCTTGTACTTGAGTAAAAGTAGAAGTACTCAGATCTTGTACTTGAGTAAAAGTAGAAGTACTCAGATCTGGTACTTGAGTAAAAGTAGAAGCACTCAGATATTGTACTTGAGTAAAAGTAGAAGTACTCAGATCCTGTACTTGAGTAAAAGTAGAAGCACTCAGATATTGTACTTGAGTAAAAGTAGAAGTACTCAGATATTGTACTTGAGTAAAAGTAGAAGTACTCAGGTCTTGTACTAGAGTAAAAGTAGAAGTACTCAGATCCTGTACTTGAGTAAAAGTAGAAGCACTCAGATATTGTACTTGAGTAAAAGTAGAAGTACTCAGATCTTGTACTTGAGTAAAAGTAGAAGTACTCAGATCTTGTACTAGAGTAAAAGTAGAAGTACTCAGATCTTGTACTTGAGTAAAAGTAGAAGTACTCAGATCTTGTACTTGAGTAAAAGTAGAAGTACTCAGATCTTGTACTAGAGTAAAAGTAGAAGTACTCAGATCTTGTACTTGAGTAAAAGTAGAAGTACTCAGATCTTGTACTTGAGTAAAAGTAGAAGTACTCAGGTCTTCTACTTGAGTAAAAGTAGAAGTACTCAGGTCTTGTACTTGAGTAAAAGTAGAAGTACTCAGATCTTGTACTAGAGTAAAAGTAGAAGTACTCAGATCTTGTACTTGAGTAAAAGTAGAAGTACTCAGATCTGGTACTTGAGTAAAAGTAGAAGTACTCAGATCTTGTACTTGAGTAAAAGTAGAAGTACTCAGATCTTGTACTTGAGTAAAAGTAGAAGTACTCAGATCTTGTACTTGAGTAAAAGTAGAAGTACTCAGATCTTGTACTTGAGTCAAAGTAGAAGTACTCAGATCTTGTACTTGAGTAAAAGTAGAAGTACTCAGATCTTGTACTTGAGTAAAAGTAGAAGTACTCAGATCTGGTACTTGAGTAAAAGTAGAAGTACTCAGATCTGGTACTTGAGTAAAAGTAGAAGTACTCAGATCTTGTACTAGAGTAAAAGTAGAAGTACTCAGATCTTGTACTTGAGTAAAAGTAGAAGTACTCAGATCTGGTACTTGAGTAAAAGTAGAAGTACTCAGATCTTGTACTTGAGTAAAAGTAGAAGTACTCAGATCTTGTACTTGAGTAAAAGTAGAAGTACTCAGATCTTGTACTTGAGTAAAAGTAGAAGTACTCAGATCTTGTACTAGAGTAAAAGTAGAAGTACTCAGATCTTGTACTTGAGTAAAAGTAGAAGTACTCAGGTCTTGTACTTGAGTAAAAGTAGAAGTACACAGGTCTTGTACTTGAGTAAAAGTAGAAGTACTCAGATCTTGTACTAGAGTAAAAGTAGAAGTACTCAGATCTTGTACTTGAGTAAAAGTAGAAGTACTCAGATCTGGTACTTGAGTAAAAGTAGAAGTACTCAGATCTTGTACTTGAGTAAAAGTAGAAGTACTCAGATCTTGTACTTGAGTAAAAGTAGAAGTACTCAGATCTTGTACTTGAGTAAAAGTAGAAGTACTCAGATCTTGTACTAGAGTAAAGTAGAAGTACTCAGATCTTGTACTAGAGTAAAAGTAGAAGTATTCAGATCTTGTACTTGAGTAAAAGTAGAAGTACTCAGATCTTGTACTTGAGTAAAAGTAGAAGTACTCAGATCTTGTACTTGAGTCAAAGTAGAAGTACTCAGATCTGGTACTTGAGTAAAAGTAGAAGTACTCAGATCTTGTACTTGAGTAAAAGTAGAAGTAACTCAGATCTTGTACTTGAGTAAAAGTAGAAGTACTCAGATCTTGTACTTGAGTAAAAGTAGAAGTACTCAGATCTGGTACTTGAGTAAAGTAGAAGTACTCAGATCTTGTACTTGAGTAAAAGTAGAAGTACTCAGATCTTGTACTTGAGTAAAAGTAGAAGTACTCAGATCTTGTACTTGAGTAAAAGTAGAAGTACTCAGATCTGGTACTTGAGTAAAAGTAGAAGTACTCAGATCTTGTACTTGAGTAAAAGTAGAAGTACTCAGATCTTGTACTTGAGTAAAAGTAGAAGTACTCAGATCTTGTACTTGAGTAAAAGTAGAAGCACTCAGATATTGTACTTGAGTAAAAGTAGAAGTACTCAGATATTGTACTTGAGTAAAAGTAGAAGTACTCAGATCTTGTACTTGAGTAAAAGTAGAAGTACTCAGATCTGGTACTTGAGTAAAAGTAGAAGTACTCAGATCTGGTACTTGAGTAAAAGTAGAAGTACTCAGATCTGGTACTTGAGTAAAAGTAGAAGTACTCAGATCTTGTACTTGAGTAAAAGTAGAAGTACTCAGATCTTGTACTTGAGGTAAAAGTAGAAGTACTCAGATCTGGTACTTGAGTAAAAGTAGAAGCACTCAGATATTGTACTTGAGTAAAAGTAGAAGTACTCAGATCCTGTACTTGAGTAAAAGTAGAAGCACTCAGATATTGTACTTGAGTAAAAGTAGAAGTACTCAGATATTGTACTTGAGTAAAAAGTAGAAGTACTACTCAGATCTTGTACTTGAGTAAAAGTAGAAGTACTCAGATCTTGTACTAGAGTAAAAGTAGAAGTACTCAGATCTTGTTACTTGAGTAAAAGTAGAAGTACTCAGATCTTGTACTTGAGTAAAAGTAGAAGTACTCATATCTTGTACTAGAGTAAAAGTAGAAGTACTCAGATCTTGTTACTTGAGTAAAAGTAGAAGTACTCAGATCTTGTACTTGAGTAAAAGTAGAAGTACTCAGGTCTTCTACTTGAGTAAAAGTAGAAAGTACTCAGGTCTTGTACTTGAGTAAAAGTAGAAGTACTCAGATCTTGTACTAGAGTAAAAGTAGAAGTACTCAGATCTTGTACTTGAGTAAAAGTAGAAGTACTCAGATCTGGTACTTGAGTAAAAGTAGAAGTACTCAGATCTTGTTACTTGGAGTAAAAGTAGAAGTACTCAGATCTTGTACTTGAGTAAAAGTAGAAGTACTCAGAATCTTGTACTTGAGTAAAAGTAGAAGTACTCAGATCTTGTACTAGAGTAAAAGTAGAAGTACTCAGATCTTGTACTAGAGTAAAAGTAGAAGTATTCAGATCTTGTACTTGAGTAAAAGTAGAAGTACTCGGATCTTGTACTTGAGTAAAAGTAGAAGTACTCGGATCTTGTACTTGAGTAAAAGTAGAAGTACTCGGATCTTGTACTTGAGTCAAAGTAGAAGTACTCGGATCTTGTACTTGAGTCAAAGTAGAAGTACTCGGATCTTGTACTTGAGTCAAAGTAGAAGTACTCAGATCTTGTACTTGAGTAAAAGTAGAAGTACTCAGATCTTGTACTTGAGTAAAAGTAGAAGTACTCAGATCTTGTACTTGAGTCAAAGTAGAAGTACTCAGATCTTGTACTTGAGTCAAAGTAGAAGTACTCAGATCTTGTACTTGAGTAAAAGTAGAAGTACTCAGATCTTGTACTTGAGTAAAAGTAGAAGTACTCAGATCTTGTACTTGAGTAAAAGTAGAAGTACTCAGATCTTGTACTTGAGTAAAAGTAGAAGTACTCAGATCTTGTAACTTGAGTAAAAGTAGAAGTATTCAGATCTTGTACTTGAGTAAAAGTAGAAGTATTCAGATCTTGTACTTGAGTAAAAGTAGAAGTACTCAGATCTTGTACTTGAGTAAAAGTAGAAGTACTCAGATCTTGTTACTAGAGTAAAAGTAGAAGTATTCAGATCTTGTACTTGAGTAAAAGTAGAAGTACTCAGGTCTTGTACTTGAGTAAAAGTAGAAGTACCAGAGTGTAGGAATACTCTGTTACAGTGAAAGTCCTGCATTCAAAATGTTCCTCAAGTGAAAGTAGAAAAGTATTCTCATCAAAATATAGTGAAAGTACAGTAAAAGTATTCATTGTGCAGATTGGTCCATTTCAGAATAATATATATGATATGTTTTATAATGATTGATCATGAAAGTGTTCTCAAAGCTGGTAAAGGTGCAGCTAGTTTGAATGACTTTGTATACTGCAGGGTAGCTTGTGGATTTACTCCAGGTGGAACTAAAGTCTGATTTAACACTTGGTTATATTTCACATCATTCATCCACATCTGTGAAGTAACTAAAGGGATTAAATACATGTAGTGGAGTAAAAGTACACCATGTACCTCTGAACTGTAGAGGGGTAAAAGTACACCATGTACCTCTGAACTGTAGAGGAGTAGAAGAACAAAGTAGCAAAACATTGAAATACATAAATAAAGTACAAGTATCTCAAAATTGTACCAAGTATAGTACTTGAGTTTATGAACTTAGTTACTTCACACCACTGGCTATAAAGATAGAAAGACTAAGCCTTGCACAGAGACATCTTCAAAATGCTCAACAGAGCTGCCAAAATTATAAACTGACTGCTACACAATTAAAATAAATGCTTTTATATATTTCGATTAGATGTGACTCTTTGGCGTTTCTGTTATTATTAACTGCTTTAGTTGTTCTGACTGCTAACATCCTGTTGTTCCTCATTTTAAAGCTGATATCCCGTGGGGTCGGGGGGTCGGGGGGTCGGGGGGTCGGATCCTTGTCACCTTTTTCATACCTGATGAGTTTGCATCCCTGATATATACAGCACCAAATTGCAACTAATCTCTATCTACTGTCACTTTTCACATTGAACATGTGCTCTTTTATTAAATAAACTAAACGCTGTCCTTAAAGTTGTGAGTTTAGTGTTTTTGACCCGAAGAAAACACTGATGCATTAATCAATAACAATAATCCACAGCTCCTCTCTGCTCCAGAGGATTTAAACAATCCCCCCCCCCCCAGGGGAAAACACTGCTATATATACATGTACTATATATTATACTCTTATAGGGAGATGCTGAGGGATCCTGTCTTCGCTCTAAGATGATCTCCGGACCCACCAACTTCAACCATGTGGCTCATATGGGACCAGGAGATGGTCTGCAGGTCCTCATGGACCTCCCTCTGGTAACTCCCCTGTCTCCCCCTTATCATTAACCTGTTTAACCCTGAGCCTGTTTCTTTCCCAGAACAAATGACCATATCTTTACTTCTAAAAGGGGGTAAATTAATTAAAAAAAATCTCAAAGTAATGATAAACCTGTGAGTTGGATGTCGAACATTTACAATCAATATAGAATTTTTTTATTTTAAATTAAATTCAGATTGAACATAGTAAAAAAAATGTAAATGATAGTGTCCGTCCAAAAACCCCATGGCTTATAGTGAAAACCACCCTTGAATGATGGGATAGTAGACTAAAAGCTTTAGGAATCCAAACTACAACATATAATAAGTACCCTGTATCAAGAGCAAAACAAGTGACATTTGACCTTTTTAGAGAGATTTAGAAGAAAAAAAAAAGACTTCTGGGGTCATTTGGGTGCATTTTCCATATCTCTGGCCCCCCTCTTTTGAACAGTTAGAGCCAATAGAATCGAGGGGAAGTTCCTAAAATCCATCTAAACATTACCCATTGGTGAATGAGTGCTGCGCAGCCAGAATGCCCCGGAAGCTGAAGCTGCGATACACTCTGGCGGCTACCATTAGCAGCTAATTTAAAATCTCCGTTTTTGACATAAAAATGGAATGATGGATTATCAATAATGTTTTCAAAGTGACAGACACATTGGATTAACCATTGGATTAACCTATGGATTAACCCTCAGCAGCGTTTTTATCGTTTTAATGCCATTGAACACAACTTTTGATCAGAATAACAGCTACGGTGAGACGATCTCCCGTTTTTGCTCCGTAATGCTACGTGTTGTGATGTCTGTGTTTGCTTCCCCTGTCGCAAGTTCTGATCGCTCAGTGATGATACTATACCTATAGAATCTGTGGAATCTCAGCTTTAACCTGATATCTTGTATGTGCAGTTACGATAAGTAATAAGGATATTTTTTACCTTGATTTCTGTGCCAAGTGCGTTAGCATTTTTTCGCTCAGGGGTCATTTAGACGCTTCTTATGAGACTTGTGTTTTGTTTTTGTAAAAATGGTTCGTATTGTCAGTTAGCTGAGTTTCTTCCCGTTAATTTGGTATGACACATTAATAGGTTTTTAGATATTAAGAAGCCCTGAGACACAGTTTCGTGAAAAAAAAGAAACCACAGCCCCCTCTACCGGGGGCTCTCGGGCTAAACAGGTTAAGCCCCACCTCTAATCATTAAGCCCCACCTCTAATCATTAAACCCCACCTCTAATCATTAAGCCCCACCTCTAATCATTAAGCCCCACCTCTAATCATTGAGCCCCGTAACCCAAGCTCCAAAGGGGCGTGGCCAGCAGAAGCTCCAAAGGGGCGTGGTCAGCAGAAGCTCCAAAGGGGCGTGGCCAGCAGAAGCTCGCTTTACATTTAAATATGGAAGAGAGGGAGGAGGCTACAATGATCTGTTTGGTGTTTGGAGCAGAACACTTCAGAGACATGTTTTTATATATCTGTATATATCTGAGACCAATAATATATGCCTAAAATAGTGTGTGTGTGTGTGTGTGTGTGTGTTTGTGTGTGTGTGTGTGTGTGTGTGTGTGTGTGTGTAGTGTGTGTGTGTGATGTGGTGTGTGTGTGTGGTGTGTGTGTGTTGGTGTGTGGTGTGTGTGAGTTGTGTGGTGTGTGTGTGTGTGTGTGTGTGTGTGTGTGTGTGTGGTGTGTGTGTGTGTGTGTGTGGTGTGTGTGTGTGTGTGTGTGTGTGTGTGTGTGTGTGTGTGTTGCAGAGTGCGATGCATTCCTCGCAGGACGACTTAGTTAAAGATAAGCCCCGCCCCCTTTCCAGTATCTCCCGGCAACAGAGGAGCAGGACACACATCACACGCACAGCCTCAGGTACACACACACATACACATATACACACGCACAACCTCAGGTACACACACACACACACTGTGCAATCTGTGATGTCATCTGTTATCTTTGTTTTTATTGGTTCAGATTTTGGGGGCGGAGCTTCTCCTCGCAGTGACCAGGAGGACGGAGAGGTAACAGGAAGTTTACATAACCCCTACAAAATAAAAGCATCGTCATTAAACCATCATGAACTAACTTCTCTATCTCTCTTTCTCTCTCTCTCTCCCTCCTCTCTCTCTCTCTCCTCTCTCTCTCCCTCCCCCCCTACAGCCTGACTCCTCCCCCCCCTCTCACAGCTCTAATCCCAGTTCCCCCCCCAGCCCAAACTCTTCCCCGTACCGCAGCCGGCTGACTCTGGACAGCCTGGAGATGGAGCCCTGAGGCCCCGCCCCCTGTCGAGGCCCCGCCCCCTGCTACAAGAACCAATCAGACTGCAGACTGGGTTTTACACAATGATTTTATTGTGGCGGGGTGTGTCTGCGCTTCCTGCTGCTTTTATTAATGTTGGATTTTATCTGCTGGGAAGCCCCGCCCCCTGGTTTTGGCCCCGCCCCTGGTTTTAACCCCCCCTCCCCAGCTGCTGTGTTTTACCTTTGACCTGCTATCTGGGACCAATCACCTCTTCTTCTTTATTAAATGACCTCCTGTTGAGGGGGAGGCCTCACTCTGATGAAAAAACACTGTATGAAATAATTATAAAGTTTTGTTAAAGTTGCACATCATCATCATCATCGTCGTCGTTGTTGTGTGTTGTGTTGTTATAGGAGAAAATACTCTTTGATTTTGTGTGATGATCTTTCCTACTGCTCCCCCCCCGGTCAGGTGGGGGGGGGGCACCTGAACACTACTGCTCTGTTTATCCAGAATCTGCATTAAAGGATCTCTGTCACTATGAACCGTGTACTCAATAAAGGATTCTGCACAGGAAGTGATGTCACTTTGTAGTTTTTACAGGAAAAAAAGGATTAAGACCTAAAGAAACATTATAATCACATTTTTTAAAACTCTTTATTTTTCAGTCGACACAACTACATAGGTAGAAAAACAACAACAAACAGAAAACAGGACACGAGTTTAGTCTTTCTTTCTCCCAGCGGTGTTCACAGATCTTTTATTCCGAGACAGCAGGTCAGTCTTTCCGTAGTAAATATTTATATATCAGGAGGGTCACCAGTTCCGTGCGATGGCCTTTTACCCGTTAGTATCAAGGTTTTAAAAGATGGTCCTCTCCTTTCCAATGATACTATTCTGAATCAGGGCAGTCTCCGTGCTGCTGCACTGCTGAACAGACGACTCAGTACCACAGCTGAACTGTTCAATAACACTGTGACTACTAACCTCTTCTGATGACGCCTGCCATCTCGCTCTCTGGCGCCACCCAGCGAGGCTTCTGTGCCAGTGCAGCTCCACATTTCTGTTCTCACCTGTACTGTACACAGAATCAGGTGAATCAGCTTAAAAACAGAAAGTGCAAAACCATCTGTGTGAATTGATCAAATGTAATTCCACGTACTCCACGGTTTATCACAATCAGAGTGATAGTATATCTAACACTTAAACTAGCTTTATTAAATGTCAGGTCTTTAGCAAGTAAAACGTTTTAATCAATGATTTTATCACCAAGCACAATTTGGGATTTATGTTTTTAACGGAAACTTGGATTGAACAAAATACAACACAGCTGTTCTTATGCTAATCAACCCTTATCAAAACATCTATAGAAAGCTGCAGCTAATTCAGAGCGCCGCTGCTCGAGTCCTCCTGACACTCAGAAAGTGGATCAGTCCTGTGCTGAAGTCTTTACACTGGTTCCTCACTGACACTCAGAAGTGGATCAGTCCAGTTCTGAAGTCTTTACACTGGTTCCTCACTGACACTAAGAAAGGGATCAGTCCCGTTCTGAGGTCTTTACACTGGTTCCTCACTGACACTAAGAAAGTGGATCAGTCCAGTTCTGAGGTCTTTACACTGGTTCCTCACTAACACTAAGAAAGTGGATCACATCAGTCCTGTTCTGAAGTCTTACACTGGTTCCTCTCTAACACTAAGAAAGTGGATCAGTCCAGTTCTGAAGTCCTTACACTGGTTCCTCACTAACACTAAGAAAGTGGATCAGTCCAGTTCTGAAGTCTTACACTGGTTCCTCACTGACACTAAGAAAGTGGATCAGTCCTGTTCTGAAGTCTTTACACTGGTTCCTCACTGACACTAAGAAAGTGGATCAGTCCAGTTCTGAAGTCTTTACACCGGTTCCTCTCTGACACTAAGAAAGTGGATCAGTCCTGTTCTGAAGTCTTTACACTGGTTCCTCACTGACACTAAGAAAGTGGATCAGTCCAGTTCTGAGGTCTTTACACTGGTTCCTCACTGACACTAAGAAAGTGGATCAGTCCAGTTCTGAAGTCTTTACACTGGTTCCTCTCTGACACTAAGAAAGTGGATCAGTCCTGTTCTGAAGTCTTTACACTGGTTCCTCACTGACACTAAGAAAGTGGATCAGTCCAGTTCTGAGGTCTTTACACTGGTTCCTCACTGACACTAAGAAAGTGGATCAGTCCTGTTCTGAAGTCTTTACACTGGTTCCTCACTGACACTAAGAAAGTGGATCAGTCCAGTTCTAAGTCTTTACACTGGTTCCTCACTGACACTAAGAAAGTGGATCAGTCCTGTTCTGAAGTCTTTACACTGGTTCCTCACTGACACTAAGAAAGTGGATCAGTCCAGTTCTGAAGTCTTTACACTGGTTCCTCACTGACACTAAGAAAGTGGATCAGTCCTGTTCTGAAGTCTTTACACTGGTTCCTCACTGACACTAAGAAAGTGGATCAGTCCTGTTCTGAAGTCTTTACACTGGTTCCTCACTGACACTAAGAAAGTGGATCAGTCCTGTTCTGAAGTCTTTACACTGGTTCCTCACTGACACTAAGAAGTGGATCAGTCCGTTCTGAAGTCTTTACACTGGTTCCTCACTGACACTAAGAAAGTGGATCAGTCCAGTTCTGAAGTCTTTACACTGGTTCCTCACTGACACTAAGAAAGTGGATCAGTCCTGTTCTGAAGTCTTTACACTGGTTCCTCACTGACACTAAGAAAGTGGATCAGTCCAGTTCTGAAGTCTTTACACTGGTTCCTCACTGACACTAAGAAAGTGGATCAGTCCTGTTCTGAAGTCTTTACACTGGTTCCTCACTGACACTAAGAAAGTGGATCAGTCCAGTTCTGAAGTCCTTACACTGGTTCCTCACTGACACTAAGAAAGTGGATCAGTCCTGTTCTGAAGTCTTTACACTGGTTCCTCACTGACACTAAGAAAGTGGATCAGTCCAGTTCTGAAGTCTTTACACTGGTTCCTCACTGACACTAAGAAAGTGGATCAGTCCTGTTCTGAAGTCTTTACACTGGTTCCTCACTGACACTAAGAAAGTGGATCAGTCCTGTTCTGAAGTCTTTACACTGGTTCCTCACTGACACTAAGAAAGTGGATCAGTCCAGTTCTGAAGTCTTTACACTGGTTCCTCACTGACACTAAGAAAGTGGATCAGTCCTGTTCTGAAGTCTTTACACTGGTTCCTCACTGACACTAAGAAAGTGGATCAGTCCAGTTCTGAGGTCTTTACACTGGTTCCTCACTGACACTAAGAAAGTGGATCAGTCCTGTTCTGAAGTCTTTACACTGGTTCCTCACTGACACTAAGAAAGTGGATCAGTCCAGTTCTGAAGTCTTTACACTGGTTCCTCACTAACACTAAGAAAGTGGATCAGTCCTGTTCTGAAGTCTTTACACTGGTTCCTCACTGACACTAAGAAAGTGGATCACATCAGTCCTGTTCTGAAGTCTTTACACTGGTTCCTCACTGACACTAAGAAAGTGGATCAGTCCTGTTCTGAAGTCTTTACACTGGTTCCTCACTGACACTAAGAAAGTGGATCAGTCCTGTTCTGAAGTCTTTACACTGGTTCCTCACTGACACTAAGAAAGTGGATCAGTCCAGTTCTGAAGTCTTTACACTGGTTCCTCACTGACACTAAGAAAGTGGATCAGTCCTGTTCTGAAGTCTTTACACTGGTTCCTCACTGACACTAAGAAAGTGGATCAGTCCAGTTCTAAAGTCTTTACACTGGTTCCTCACTGACACTAAGAAAGTGGATCAGTCCTGTTCTGAAGTCTTTACACTGGTTCCTCACTGACACTAAGAAAGTGGATCAGTCCAGTTCTGAAGGTCTTTACACTGGTTCCTCACTGACACTAAGAAAGTGGATCAGTCCAGTTCTGAGTCTTTACACTGGTTCCTCACTGACACTAAGAAAGTGGATCATCAGTCCTGTTCTGAGTCTTTACACTGGTTCCTCACTAACACTAAGAAAGTGGATCAGTCCAGTTCTGACCTTTACACTGGTTCCTCACTGACACTAAGAAAGTGGATCAGTCCTGTTCTGAAGTCTTTACACTGGTTCCTCACTAACACTAAGAAAGTGGATCAGTCCAGTTCTGAAGTCCTTACACTGGTTCCTCACTGACACTAAGAAAGTGGATCAGTCCAGTTCTGAAGTCTTTACACGGTTCCTCACTGACACTAAGAAAGTGGATCAGTCCTGTTCTGAAGTCTTTACACTGGTTCCTCACTGACACTAAGAAAGTGGATCAGTCCAGTTCTGAAGTTTTACACTGGTTCCTCACTGACACTAAGAAAGTGGATCAGTCCTGTTCTGAAGTCTTTACACTGGTTCCTCACTGACACTAAGAAAGTGGATCAGTCCTGTTCTGAGGTCTTTACACTGGTTCCTCACTGACACTAAGAAAGTGGATCAGTCCTGTTCTGAAGTCTTTACACTGGTTCCTCTGACACTAAGAAAGTGGATCAGTCCAGTTCTGAAGTCTTTACACTGGTTCCTCACTGACACTAAGAAAGTGGATCTCCTGTTCTGAAGTCTTTACATGGTTCCTCACTGACACTAAGAAAGTGGATCATCCAGTTCTGAGGTCTTTACACTGGTTCCTCACTGACACTAAGAAAGTGGATCAGTCCTGTTCTGAAGTCTTTACACTGGTTCCTCACTGACACTAAGAAAGTGGATCAGTCCTGTTCTGAAGTCTTTACACTGGTTCCTCACTGACACTAAGAAAGTGGATCAGTCCAGTTCTGAGGTCTTTACACTGGTTCCTCACTGACACTAAGAAAGTGGATCAGTCCAGTTCTGAGTCTTTACACTGGTTCCTCACTGACACTAAGAAAGTGGATCAGTCAGTTCTAAAGTCTTTACACTGGTTCCTCACTGACACTAAGAAAGTGGATCAGTCTGTTCTGAAGTCTTTACACTGGTTCCTCACTGACACTAAGAAAGTGGATCAGTCCAGTTCTGAAGTCTTTACACTGGTTCCTCACTGACACTAAGAAAGTGGATCAGTCCTGTTCTGAAGTCTTTACACTGGTTCCTCACTGACACTAAGAAAGTGGATCAGTCTGTTCTGAAGTCTTTACACTGGTTCCTCACTAACACTAAGAAAGTGGATCAGTCCTGTTCTGAAGTCTTTACACTGGTTCCTCACTGACACTAAGAAAGTGGATCAGTCCTGTTCTGAAGTCTTTACACTGGTTCCTCACTGACACTAAGAAAGTGGATCAGTCCTGTTGTGAAGTCTTTACACTGGTTCCTCACTGACACTAAGAAAGTGGATCAGTCCTGTTCTGAAGTCTTTACACTGGTTCCTCACTGACACTAAGAAAGTGGATCAGTCCAGTTCTGAAGTCTTTACACTGGTTCCTCACTGACACTAAGAAAGTGGATCAGTCCTGTTCTGAAGTCTTTACACTGGTTCCTCACTGACACTAAGAAAGTGGATCAGTCAAGTTCTGAAGTCTTTACACTGGTTCCTCACTGACACTAAGAAAGTGGATCAGTCCTGTTCTGAAGTCTTTACACTGGTTC